CATTCCTGTTTCCCGTTTCGTGTAATTTTTCTACCGTTGTGTTCACTATTCTATTTTCTACAGGTTAACCGAAGAAAAAATCTTTGCCGCGAAGGTGAGTCAGCGGAAGCCACCGCACCTAAAAAATCCCACCACTTGTAGGTTTCCGTTTTTTAATTTTTTCGGCCAACCGAGACCCCCTAACGTATTTTTTCACATGGATATGTATAAAGGCGGCTGAAATCGACCAAAATCGATCAAAAATGGTCAAACCGAGGCAAATGGTCGTCGTGAGCAATGGTGCTATCACCGGAGCATGGCGGTGCTGCCATGCCAGAACCCTGAAATTGGCCGAAAAGGATTTTTAACACCGATTTTGAGTTTTTTTGTGTATTTTTAGTTATGTAAAACGTGTTTTAATCTCTACAAAAAAATTTGAAAAATTCGGGGACCGCCAATAGGCACAGTAAAAAGTTTGATATTTCGGACACTGATTCAGGTAAGAATCTCTCACATTTTTTTCTATTATGAAATCGAATCTTAATAATCAATAATATGATATTTTGTGAAATTTAGAAAACTTTGAGAATAATTACAAGTCACCAATGGAGTTGGAACTAATTAGTTATTTATTGGTCATGTTTAACTAATTATTTGATTTTACAGCTTTAAATACATGATGATATATTGGAATAGTTAAATGATTCAGTTGTGCTTCTTTGATGCATATATTGTTTGTTTTACATGATTTATGGTTGATTTGTGAAATTTAAAATTAATATGCAAATGGAAAATTACTTGGTTACGTGAATTAATGAATGATTGTCTTACTGGATATCCTGAGATATGGTAGACAGACCGGGTACATAGGGAACCCTACCGTGAATATTACCTCATACCGTACAGGGTATCGAGGGATGATATTTTTAGCACTCATACCGGATAAGGTATGGAGACGGCTGGTTAGTTGACAAGTTTAGATATTAGGTTTAAGCATTGTGGAGCACTTCTAAGGACCTTCAGGGATACCAGTAAGCAAAATAAAAAGAAAAATTGTTGTTCTTACTCACTTGAATATGAGATCATAATGTTATTTTAGTTATTGTCTCTATAGGTCGATTTTAAAAATCTCGCAACGGTAAGTATACAATAAATGATTTTCCTTATGATAAATGAATTTACTTAAATTAAGAGGTTCATTGGTTATTTTTATGATTTTTACCAATCTTCGATTTTTGTATCGGTGAGTAGTATGATATTCTTATTGAGATAGTGTAGCTCACCTCCTCCCCTATTAAGCATTTCGGATCAAGAATATCAAAATCCAGATCCTGATAAGTAGGAGGGCTGTGAGTAGGTGTCCGCTTGGATCCTATGAAGAGCTAGTAGAGGTTAACCTCCCTATAAGATTTATTTACAATTTTCATATGTTATTACGTTTTTTGTTTTATGAATTGCTGTAAAAGGGATATTTTTGTAATCCTATTAGGCATGCTAATTTATGTGTAAGAAATGTAAACTCTAACGTTATTATACGTTTCTGCATTTAATTTATGATTTTGTTTCCATTTAAGTTACGGGCCTTTACAAATATAACGTGATCCGTGATATCCTGATGATCAAATTGCAGATAGAGACGACATGTATGAAGTCCACATTGACTATGAGTTTCTTAATATCGAGATGTTAGACAAGCTTAAGGCCTTAAAAGACACCGTCAAGCTCAATAGATAGAGCCTATAAGTACTAAGGTTACTCATAAACTAATAACTCAATTACCATTATTGTCCCTAATTAGGCCATTTTTTATCGTATGTTCAGGTTCATCAATCGTAAAGTCATCTATGTTAAGCTTGAAACCATGATAGATAAGGAGCTTTCCATCTAACCCAAGGGTATATAGATAGAACACCCATAATTGTGTGACGGTCACACTGGCAGGCTTTTAGGAATTCTAGGGCTATAGTGATGATGTAAGAACTAGATAAGATAATGATTTGGTCAACATCTTTATACACAACTTTATTCCTCTTCTACCACATGATCCATGCAGAAGTAGGAAAAATGGTCTGATAGCTAGTTATCCCATGCGAGCTTATATTAGTGTAAAAAAATTTAATCTATCCACTTGTCAAAAGAAAGAGAAAAAAATTTATTACCCCAACGATTATCAATTAAGTCATCCCATACTTGAGTTGTAATAGGACAATATTTGATGGCATGTAAGTTATCTTCCTTATCTAGAAGACATCTTTGACAATGACCATCAACCATAATTTTTCTAGGATTCCTTTTAGCATTAGTGAGGAAACAATTGAATGCAAAAATTCACATAATGTACCAGATTCTCTCATGGACTAGGAGTGATCAAATTTTCTTCCAACAAATCATTAAATCCGTGTTCATCTACACTCATCCTTTATCCCGTTAGTTATGAATTTCATTCTCCCTCCATACGAAGTGGGGTGTGACAAGTTAGTGGGTAATCTGCTTCTATATCTATCTCTAGGTCGGAAGCTTCTCTTGTACTTACCTTACAATTTTTATCTATTTATGACATATATTTTTATTCTATTTATTTATGTTAATTAAGGTGAGACAAACAAGTAATTGAGTTTCTTCATCTTATTACTATTCCAAATTCTAGATGTGTCTTCAACTTAGAAGATAATAATAAAAGATAACAAATAATAAAATTTTTAATTTATTTGAGTTCTAATGTAAGATAGAAATCCTAATTTTAACTCTTATTTAGAGCAAAATTATTATATATTACGATGTATTCAAAAAAAATAATCAAACTTTTCAATTTTATTATTATTTTACAATATCTCTAAAATAAAAAATAATAAGATAATATAATAATTAGAGGAATAAAGGATTGAAAAACGAAAAATCATGAAAATATATATATATATATATATATATATATATGGAGAAAGAGAGAGAGAGAATACACACTTTTTCTTCAATCAAAATCAAAATCAAAATCAAAATCAAAATCTTCTTCTGTTCTGTGTGTCTTACTTTTTTCTACAGAAAAAAAAAATCTATTTAATTTAGATTCCTTTCAACCTTAATAGATATCGAGATATTGTTAATGTATTAAGACTTTCTTTAGTACACATTTAGTATTAAGGTGATGTATGCATTAAATAGGTACATGAATATTAAAATGCATGTAAGTATATAAATTTTAAGATGCATGTAAACACATTTACCATATGCATGTATTTTCTTTCACATACAAATCCCTTTTCTATTTTGAACACAATATAATAAAGAAAAATTCCAATCCATATTTTCTCCATCTTATATATATGTATATATATATATATATATATGTACATATCAGAAACTGCAACATAGAAAAATATAGAAAATGTAAAAGTGAAAAATTTCTGTCAAATGTAAAACAAGTATTTGGTAGGTAGTTGCTATCTTGCCAAGGCTTCATGCTTACATATATATATATATATATATGTACATGTATATTAGAAACTGCAACATAGAAAATATAGAAAATGTAAAAATAAAAATCTTTATCAAATGTAAAACAAGTATTTAGTAGGTAATTGTTGTCTCGCCAAAGTATCGTGCTTACATATATATATATACATGTATATCAAAAACTACAACAATAGAAAATATAAAAAATGTAAAAGTAAAAGTCTTTGTCGAATGTAAAATAAGTATTTGGTAGGTAATTGCTGTCTCGCCAAGGCATCATGCTTATATATATATATATATACATGTACATGTATATACATATATATATATATATATTCATGTACATTTCAAAAACGAAAAACGACTTACGTTCTTATTAAAGTTTTGACCAGTACTTCTAATTAATTTATTGAGTGCTGCCAACAAATAAGATTAATATATATATATATTTGACCTTGATTTATTTATACATCAGAAAAATACTCATGGAATGGATCATCTATGAATATTTAAATTAAGTCTTTATCTCTATCATTTTTGTGTGACACTTAAGTTAGGTAGGCTAATTACGTATATACATACATACATATATATGTATATATGGCAGTTAAAATTGAACTTTTAATTTTCACACCCATTTACCGAGTAAAAAGACACATTAATTAAACCTACCTATGAGTATAATGCACCGTCTTGACTTCTGCCAAAAGAGTTTCAAAATCAATTTTAAGTTCCACGTTAAATGTTAAAGATATGTGTATCTACACACACATATATATATATATGTATAGTCTGTAGGTTTTTGTCAAATAGCAGTTGCAAGCGTATTGAGTGCACCGGAATTTAAGATATTGTATTTATATGTGTGTGTGTATATGTATTATATATTGTATGCTTATGACTTTGTAAACACCGTAATTGGTAGCGAAAAGGTTTTTAATTTGAATATTTTTGATGAAAGTCTATACGTATCCACAAGATTTCAAAGCTTTAGATTCTCTCATTTGAAACTATGAATTCTTTGTTACATTTTGCTTTAATTTGTTTATTGATGCTGAGTAATGACCACTTTCCCGTTTGGTGCGAGTTGACAATTTAATTCTCTCTATATTATATTATATATATATATATATATATATAGAAGATGAATTGTTCAAATTTCTCTGTATACACCATCTCAATCCCGGTCAAAAATCAAATGGGTTTACTGTAAATGGTGGGTTAATTTAGATAATAAGAAAATAAAATGATGATACATAATACACACACATGTATGTGTGTGTGTGTGTATATATATATATATATATATAGAAGATGAGCAGAGAATTTGATTGTGTTCACAAGTGATATAGCAATGTTTAAGTATGAAAGACTATAAGTTTATAACTTCCTTTTGTTTTCACCTATATGCCTACAAATACCTTTCCAGTTCTTTGGATGTAACATTACAAAGAAACAATTCAAAAGATTGATGTACAAAATATTATATATTATATAATAAATTAATAAAAATCAATATTATATTTTCATTTAAAATTTATTATATAATAAATTAAGTATAACAAATAAACTAATTAAAAATATTTTTTACTTCTCATAACTTAAATCATATCTCAATCTGACAGCATGATCCTTTATATATCTACTGCGATCCATTTATTAAAACTACAGGCGCTGCTTAGATTGCAAGCTTAAGCACCCATTAAAAACAAGTAATTTACACCCTGCAAATTTCAGATAAATAAAAAAACCCTTGTTTGGCCATGAACCATTTTAAATTCTATTAAGCCAATGCTCGAGTCGAAGCTGCTTCAATGGAGGACCTTTCTTCTGTTTATTCTTCTGAGGACATGTCCATTTACCAGTAACCTCTACTGCAACTGAGTCGTGAAAATTTGTGGTCTCTGCCAATGATTTTCTCTTCACTGCATTGTCTTTTACACTAACTGATCTAACCAACACATTAGTTTTGGAACCCTCAACTACCATCTCCTCTGGCCTTCTCAAGGATTTTGCATCTTTAATTCCGTCCTTTCCCCGATCTACATTTTCTTTTTTATTCTCTTTATCACTGACTTTATAATTTGATTTTCCGATTGAAAATCTGCTGACTGAACTTTTTGAAGGACTCCTTTTTGGCTTAAGACCATCTTCTGTACATACCTTACCTTCCAAGTTTTTCTCCTTTGCGAATTGCCAAGTGCTGACCAACTTCTTTGGAAGTTTTTTATCAGTACTGCCAGCAATTTCATAGGTATTGGTTGATTTAAGATCGGCTTCTTTGACATTTTGGTCTTCTTCACCTCCTGGAAACTCTTCATTCTTTGATCTTGGTTTCTCTATAGCTTTGCTTCCGAATGATTTATGTTCCAAGCTTTCCTCAAAGCAAAAATCATTTAAAGAGCAGAGTTTCTTCCTGTCCTTACTCCTATCCCTATCCTAGAAAAAGCAAATATGAAATGCAATAAAGATCGACCCTACCTTTTTAGGAAACTACTGAAAAATGAGATATCTAGCGAAAATAGTAAAAAAGAAGAGCACATATAGCAAAAATAGTACCGTCATGATGGATATGTTTTCTTTTAAAGCATACGAGCGTAGCTTGTCACCTACTGCTTCATTGTCATTTCTAGCCTTTTTTGTTATCCACAAATTCTGTTCCTTTTTCATATCCCTCTCCCCAATGGAGACCCAATCTCTATCCCCATAAGAACGTCCAAGATCATCGAGTGTACTGAGTTCAGGGCTCTCATACTCATAGCTAGAAAAATAGTTTCTGATATCAAGAGGCTCTGTATAACGAGCATGTAAAATAAGCAACTGATTATTCCAAAACTTAAACTAATAAAGAATCAATTTACTACTTATTATCTACTATATTCACTCACATGCAAGTTAATTAAAATGAAACCATCAATAAAAGAAGGTTCATTATAGTTTATGCTAAATTTTAAATTTTAAAATAGAAACGGAAAACATTGGATGAATAAGGAAATAATAAATTGGGTTATTAATCAACTAAATTATTCAACTTATTAATATATGAGGTGATCAATCTTTTTAAAAGTTAATATTAGTAAAAAGTGACTTAATCCATTATTTATTATAAATAAAAAAAAGATTCTGATATTTCCTCTTTGTTTGTAAGTCTTTGCTAAGACATGTTTGAAATAAATAATTTTTTCACAAAATTGATTTTAGAATCTTATAGTTTAATACTTGGTTTTAATATAAAATAAAACTTAATTTCAAATAAATACTAAATAGAATTAAAAAAATACATCTTGAATTTCGTATCATTTATATTTAACAACTTAAAGAAAAGTAAGTTTGTTTAGTTATTAGGAAAATAATCCATCTGTTCCAAAGATACCCTCAACACTGTTGAAAATCTCTACTCATGGCTAATACTCACCAGAAAGTAGGGACTCTGAGTGCAAAAACTCCAAATCCTGCAACATTAATAAGAAAGTATTCATTCCAAACACGTATATCTTGATTTCTTTTGATGGTCAAAATATGATAGGTAGCACAGAATTTTAGGCATAGCTACCAAATGACAGGATAAAAATCGAGGAATAAGAATATGAACGAATCAATGTAGGTATCAAGTCCTTATGAGTCATTGGCCTTGGGTAGTCTGTTTGTGATATGAGATTCAAAGGTGCTTCTCTAGTTGACCCAATTGAGAGTGTTTTCATTTTCAGTTCTTTCAAATATTAGAGACAGGTAGTTAGTGATTTGCTTGTGTATATGCTCCTAATCAGCCTAGAAGAATTTAGCAAAAGTTTCAGCTTGAAGGATGTAGCAAAATATCAGCCAGGGTGAGTCCAGATTGTCCAAACTAGCAGTGCATTTCGCATAACAATTTAGCAAAAATTTCAGCTTGAAGCACAATTTGGTAGATTGCTAGATGTCTCGCATATTTGACATGTCACTGAGAAACTTGATTTGCTTCCAGAGGACGACTGGGAACGCCTGATGAGAGACTATTGTTGTACATGATTGAGAGCACCAGGCTGCTTCTGGCGAGACTGATTAAAGTA